CGGACGTGTGCTCCTTGCCAAGCAGCACTGAGCTTGCAACCGCGCGGCGTTTTCGGGCAGTTAGCGGTGTGGGGACTGCGAGCTCCCCCAGCGAGGACCCGTGTGGCTCTGCCACGGTCTCTGCAGCGTCGCCGGCGCCCAGCGCGTTCCAGGGACTCAGACGACTTTTCCTGCTCTGCCATTTCAGTTCAGTGTGCCCGTACGATAGCACGTTTAAAAATCCACACTCTGCCCCCGCGCCACTGAGCCGCTGAGCGTGGTCGCGATTCAAGCCAAAGCGTTGAGGCTCGTCACCACGAGGGACACAAAACACGAGTCGCTTGCTGTGAATGGGGGCGGGGTTCATTAACTTCAAAAGCGGAGGTAGGTTTCGAAGCAGGGTGAGAAGCGAAGCTTCTAGGCTGATGAGGTGGCTGCGGATAAAGAAGGAAGACACTTGACATTCGAGCATCATATCCTGGGAGACTCACGGGGACAAGTCACCGACATTACCAGATCAGTTTCTGTGAAGCCGCAGGGCCTGAAATGTACCCAAACGTTTTCCCCTCTGAGAAAACCCGTCTCCCCCACATGTCCCTCACTTTCACGACTGACGAGATGCTTTCCGATGTATCGTAGTAAAAACAATTACGAGTTACCATGAAATGCGAGCAGAAATTGGCCCGGCAGACGCTGATAGCGTTCATTAGCGTAATTAGGTGTGATGGGGTCGGCGTCATCGCCTGACTCTGTCACCACACGCTCTGAAACGCTCCGTACACGGTGCAGCACGTACCTTGCAGGAGGTTTAATACGATGTATGTTCACTTCTGTGAAAAGCCTTCTGGTCTAATTATAATATTTTAATGGGGCTGCGAGATCCAGCTTTTCCAGTTTGACACGAAATACCTTTGGCGCCATCGTGCAAACATTTCCCTCCTCGTCTCTGATTTCCTGTCTCTGTTTCTCTCGGGCCCTCTCACATTCTCTCGCTTTCTGTCTTTTCTTACATTTTAGTTTGGATGAGAAGTCCCTAGGGAGCCTCGTTAGCCACTTTCCCATCCTAGTCTGTGACAGGGCCTGGGGATCTGTATATTTACAAGACTGTCCACCTGGGCAATTTTGTTCAAGCGACCCATGGACTGCTTTAAGGGACATTGATCTAGAAATAGATACCTACAGCTCTGCCAGTGGCTGGATACATTTCCGTATGAGCAACGAGCAACGTTAAGTCACGTACACAAAGCTCGTTACCAAAATTCAGTAGTTAAGACGAATACGAACTTTGCACCGGTCGTTTGCGGGTTGGTCTGTTTCCGTTGGCCTCCTCGGCCTCGTCTTTAGCTTTTATCCTCAGGCACCTTGGGCGTTTTCAGTACTCATCACATCCGGATTTGTTACTTCATTGTATCTATTCTTCTAGAGACCAAAAAACAAACAAAACTTTCATTTTTATCTGTACAATTCAAACGGTTTCTTTCGAAACATTGGCTGTATCGATCATCTAGATACAATGTCTAAATCTGCCGGGTGTGTAGAGTTGGGCTTCTTACTCTTCTTAAGCTTCTTTTTAGTATTGGATTATGAAGCGTTACATAAAATGCCACAGTGGGTTTAAAATGCTCCATATACCGAGAGCTGATATATTTATTAGTTAAGCATTCATGGACTCACCATTAAAATAGGGAACAGAACAATATTATTGGCTATTGTTCTAGAAATTCTGCTTCGCTTGCGTCCCGAAAGAGAAACGTAGATTACATTATTGTGTTCATATAGAATGCAGAGGAAAGTTTATTAAAATCAACTATGATTAATAGGAGAATTCCTGAATGCCGCTAGAGACAAGAAAATGTACAAAAGTAGGAACATTCGAACGCATCAAAAATCACTTTAGAAAATATAATGAAAACATGATCCAACTCACGAGAGCAAAAACATATATGAATTGATAACACGAATGATTTTAAGTAGTGTCGTAAATAAAGAATGTAAATGAATGTAAATAAAATGTAAATGAAGTTTTGAATAAGTGGTAATACATAGACATAACCTGATTTTGGATAGGAACGCTGAGATTTATTAAATGTCAGTTCTTTCTAATAAATTTATAGGTTTACTATAGTTCGAAATAGCTACGAAAGAATTTTATTTACAACCCGGGGAAATGATTCTAAGGTTCATTTACAAGAATGGCTGTTGGTAGCTTAAAAAAATCTGTAAAAGAGGAATAAGAAAGAGGAATTTAGCACTTTGAGATTTAAGAGTATATTATAAAGATTGAACAATCGAAAAATATATGAGACTCATCCAAGATTAGAGAATGAAATTAGTGAAGCAGTAAAATACAGAAAGGAAACGGATTATTTATATGAATTTATCATGTAAACGTTAAATGTCATAATCAAGAACTGATTATTCAGTACATGGCGTCGAGATAATCGTTTAGCTCAACAATAGTGGGAAGGAGAAAAGGATTTTATGTGCTAATCCCTTGCCAGACACCGTGGCGAGTGACAGAGAGAAAGATCAAATGAGACTTTTCGTTTCTGATGTTATGGCAGGCTAAATTATTGTAGCCAAACTCGATGCTGATTAAAACTAAAATTCTGAATAAAATTTTTAACAAGTCCTTTTAAAATGTGACCCAAAATTGACAGAATAATAAAGAGTTATCAGGTTAAACTTTAAGTGACCGGGGAGCCTGGAGGAAGCACGGCAGGAAGCTGCTTTTGCCTCAAGGACGTCTGTCCGACGGGACCTCGAGCTTCCGTTTTCAGCCCAGGCTTTGCCAAGGCGGGGTGTCCAGTGGCAGACCATCCACCCTCCAAGCTGGGGCAGTGCAGGGCCCACTCTCAGTGGGAGGACGAGCCAGTGGACATCAGCCCCGTGCCCCTCGGTGCCAGGGGCGGGGGGATGCAAGCAAACTCACCTCAGTGGTGAGCGTCAAATCGACAGAATAATCCTTGAGGTCCTGTAGCTTTCCATGGACTTACAGTGTCCACTGTAATGTCCGAGCGGCACAGACATTTATGAACATAGTTTAAAGCAGCCTCCAACTGGAAATGCCTCGCGGCAGAAGCAAACATGAGTCCCTTCTAGAAGACTCTGTCCTCCTAGGCCTCCCAGTGTCCCCAGAGCCAGTTTTCTAAGGAAAATGAGCAGTTTACAATGAAAAGTTTAAAGCTATACAAGGAAACAAGGAACCAGCGGAAACCAATCTGCAAATACTTCAGATACTGGGACTATCAGACACTTACTTTAGACCAGCTATACTTACTGCATTGAAAGAAAGAAAAGGGTTAAAAATTTAGAGACAATAGAAAGTGTGTAAAATAATCCGGCACGTTTAAAAGAGAACCAAAGAGAGCTTTTAAACAAAAACCAAATGAAAACAAAGAAGTAATTGAAGTTAAAACACACACACACACACACACACACACACACACACACACACGGCAGATTAGACACCCCGAAGAGAGAATTAGTGAACTCAAACATAAGGACAGAAGTGTCTAGCCCTGGTAGACAAAAAATTAGGAAATGTGAAAGAGAGAGGAAGAAATGTGAAGGAGGAGGAAAATCTAACATGTATTTA